GATGCGACGCTTGCGACGGATTTTTATGTGAAATCGCGTTTCTTTTGCAAAAGTTATGAGCGGTATTGTATTTGCATTCGTGTACTATTTATTTATGCACTCACATGGCCTTTCTCTTACATCTTTCTCGTGTATGATCTTGTAAGATTAAGAAGTTTTCACACCGGGACTGTTCATATTCAGATTCATTCTTATTAACTACATACCTGCTAATTTAAACTGCGCAGTAAAACTGTTTATGAAGATGACCCTTGCTGCAAACTAAGAATGGTCTGAGTCACTCACAGCGCGATATATCAGTATTTTAAATAACTCAATGAGAGAATATTGCGATTGCGAATTAAATGCAATCTATTCTAATTCCAAAGATGCCCTTCATAATTTTTTAGTAAAACAGCAGAAACTTCTTCTTCATAACAACATGGATTTACAATTTCTTTTTGAGAGGGTTTTCTGCACAAACAGACCAGCAATTCATTCCATCTTTACAAATTTTTCTTATCCCTAACTAGCAATCAAAACGCGTTCAGCTAAGCACACTTACCAGTGTACTAAATAGCAATAAAGATACAATAACATCCAGAATAAAAACTTATACGCTGTCAATTCTCTTAGGCCTACATATTTGTCATTTTACCCATATCAGTGTTGTGGTTGTTTATAATGTAATGAGTCTTCTCTCCAATAGTTCGAAACAAATCTATTTAAAGCAGGATTCTAATTACAGTCATATGTTTTCGAACCAATTCACCGTGAAGATTTCGGTATAGAAGAGATCTAAAATGAAATGAAAATGTTTGAATGTTTGCACCATCAAACTTCCAAACATGAAGGTGATCAGCTTAGAACCCATTTACAGATGAAAACTGAACGATTACGCGTGAAGCTTGAGCGTTACAGCACTGCTTGTTGTATTATTACTCTAAAGTTGATCAGTGGCCGCATGATGAAATGTTTAGATGCCCAATTACACAGAGAAACAACAGGTAAAATGGAAAATAAAACAAGCGTTCGCATAGGAATGTTCCTACATATCAAAAGAAAACATCCTAAATGACATAAATGTCTCACGCACGACCTTTGAGAATATAGTGCATGCACGTTTCTTTGCACCTTTCACGCTCCACATAATTTCTCTTCCAAACTTGACAATTGGCGATAGCAATTAAAACGAAAGAAGTAAAATGCATTATGCAAGACGATTTGCACAAACCTGAAATGTGCTATTGATCTGATCCAGAATTTTATCGACATTCTTGTCCAACTGATCAATTTCTTGACTAACACAATCGTGAGCTTGATCAAGAGCGCGAAGGCGTCCCTAAATTACAGGCGATTGTTGAATAGTTGAAGTTGAGCCATTAAACGATGAAAAGTGAATTACCTTTGCCCGGTAAACAACGATCTCCGACATCCTTTTTAGAGCAATCGAAAACGGTATCACAGTATGTTGAGTGCATTTCTTGCTGAAAATGAATGGAAACTCAATTATACACCCGGAATCATCAATTCTTCTTCCTTAGAAAAAGCATGTGAAGATTGCCTGTTTGAGGCAGTAAATACCTCATGACACTCTTTATACACTGAAAACAGATACAAAAACACTCTTAGGCGGCTCATTTTTTCCCACTTCACAAAAATGGTAAGGGTAATAACAAGTTTCCTTCTTCCTCCACTTTATTCTACTGCTCCACACATACCTCTTCGAATAAACGAGTACACAAAAATTTGAGCTTCTGAAGATAAGTCCATGGAGCTTCCTAACTATTTCAACCATTCAAATCTATGAAAACTCTTCAATGCATTAAAAAAGATTGCCAGGGAATCTCATTATTATTTTTATCTTTTTTACCAATCTCAAACTTGAACTTACTTGATAACTGTAGATTGACATTGTTGGCAAAATACCAAATCACAACATTCGCAGTAAAGCAATTGTTCGCTAGGATGAATAGTGCATGACGGAACGACATCCTTTCGTTGCTTCTGAAAAGATATAAGTATTGTAGAATCTAGCGAGTACAGATGATCTCCTTAAGAAGACTAGGCTGCCTCCAATTTCTCCACAAAGCCCTAAAATTTCTAAATAAGTTCAATTCGGATTTAGTAGAAATTATATTATTTGGATATCACACGCGGTTTTCCCAGAGGAGCATGATCTCATAAATGAAAAACGCCAAAACAAA